CGGCAGGATCATTAGCTCGTACTGTGGGTTTGCCCTGGTCGCGTCTGCAGGTGGACGACTGTTTTGGGTGGAGCGGTAAAGTTCTCTCGGAGCAACAGAAACAACAACGCGGGGCTGCGCAGGCTTGCCTGTTGCGCCTGTTCCACACAGTCCGGTTTTCGGTCAGTTTGGACTGAGACTTGCAATATATTGTTTTTTGCAGCACACGAGTGTGCTTGCACGGTGTGTGTTTGTGTGTGTGTGTGTGTGGCTTGAGGTTGTTGGATGCCGGTTGCGACGACGGCAAGTCAGAACTTCTTCTCTGCAAGGTGTTCACGCTAATTGCTGGCGAACTCTTCCGTTCTCATGGCGGTCAGTTGTTTGAATACAGTAATGGTGCATGGGCTCCTGCTTCTCGGGGACTGACTTCGGTTGCGCTGGAATTCATTTTGAAGGCTCTGCGCAGAGCACAAGCATATTTTGGCGTCATGACGAATGATGAAGACTGCAAGCAGCAGCGGTGTTTCAGCTTCGTTGCCTTGGTTGTCAAAGTGATTCAACATGTAGGTGGGGATGAAGTCCTCCTCCAATGGCAGCTTCAAGATGTGGTACCAAAAAAGCCGGAGTTGAAGGCGAAACATTGGGCGCATGGCTTGAGTGAACTATGCAAAGTGCTCCGCCACCAGTTCGATGAGCACCACAGGCACTCCAGTAACAGTTTGGGGCCAAGAGCTGTGTGAGTGTACTGTTCGATCGTTTCTGTTTGTTGCTGGCTTTAGTGTAGAATGTGCCATGTCACTGTGAGAAGGAGTGGTTCAGGACACGTGGGGTGTTGCAGGGGCAAGTGTGGTTTTCTAGAGCCCCGCACACCTCGTGCAGGAGTGTGCTGAAAGTTTTTCATCGGTGGTCCGATGAAGAGTTGAGCGCCAAGCAGCAGCCGGGCGTTTGTTTCCGTGATGCTTTTATCAGCACCGTAGATGGCAAGCTAAAGCAGCTGAGGAAGATGCACGCCACGGGTGCTACGTGTCGGTGCCGACACATCTGCTGTATCAGCCATCGATGGAATCTCGTCGCCGGTATGCCAGCATCATCTTGTCAGCTTTTGCCGGCAGCAATGGCTTGAAGGTGTTGCTTGACCAGTGTGCTTTGATCGTAGCAAGGGCACGCCAGCCCGACATTCTTCACATGATAGTGGGGCCGGGTCAGGACGGGAAGACCTTGGTTTTCGTGGACCACATGCGTGCAGTCTTTGGATCGGGCTTTGGATGTGCGCCCTCCAGCATGCTGCAAACAGAACGCGAATTCCAACAACAAGGGTCGAACTTCATACAGTGTTGCTACTTGGTGTTCGATGAATGTCGTCGAGAACAGGGCTTGATAGAAGACTTGGTGAAGGTCTTTGTCGGGGGCGGGTGGTTGCCTCTGCGTCGCAATCACGAGCCTGAAACAAAGTATGGACATTGGGCTTTTGCTGGCAAAGCGTGGTGCCTCAATGTTGGGGACATTCCGTACCTTCCCACATCACAGGAGATCTCTCATGCCCGCAGGTTCCGCTGTACCTTCATGCGGAGTCACTTCACAAGCAATGCTGCGGATGTCGACCCGGATCGGAAGATTTTCAAAGCCGACCCAAGCGCCAAGATCTTCATGGCCTCCGGAGAGGCGGTCTGGTGTTTTTACAATGACTTCTTGTTCCCTCACCTGCGGAAGTTCGGCATCCACGCCTGCAGCAATGCTTTGGAATATGGCACTGGGTCTGCGAGCACGGCAAAGGACTCTGAATGGCTCTTGAAGCGCATGAACCGGAGCACGGACGCCTGTTGTCCGGAGGATCTCGAGTCCCAGGACACCTTTGACCATAAAGACAAGCGGCGCACTACATCTGAGAAGATTGTTAGAGAAACGCACAATGTGGTTGACCAGGAATTCTTCTCTGCTGCGCGGCACTGAGTTGTGCGGCGTGGCAGTTTGGGAGCTCGCCACGCGCGTCGCCATGAATATGTTGCACATTGAGTTTGTATGGCTTGTTGGACAGTTGCATTCATCGAGGTATTTCTTGTGCTGGCATGTTGCATAAGGCTGTCTATTTCTTGGGAGCACGCATTTGTGTGAGCAGGGAGTGTCCAAAAACAGTGATGCCGCATCTTGATCACCCTCGAAATGCATCGAAACAGCAACTGCCGTCACGCTGTTGCTTTCGTGATCCTTGGATTCAAGTCTTGCTGCAAGAGACAATATTCCAGTGTGTGTTGTGCTGCATGTTTTGGCGGGAAAGGCTTGTCCGCAAAAAAAAGCCCCATTTTGTTAGTGTGCGCCTGTCGCGAGATGCCTTGACATGTCAACGTGGTATTGCATTACCTTTCAAGTTGGTCGTCAGAGGCAGCTGCTCGAGGAATGGAGTCGCATCGTGGGCACACTGTAGCGCATCTCGGTTGTGGGACCAGGAAAGTGACAAAAACAAGACAGTTAGACAAACAATCTGTGTGTGCGTGTTCGCTCGCGCATGTTGCGTGTTGCTGGCGTAGTTTGGAACTATGTTGTTGGTCTTTCTGCACGTTGATCTTTACGCGACAGGACTGAAGGCGCGCTGAGTGTGTACAAGGCTTGAGAGATTTGGGGGGGGCAATGGAGCGAACTGAGCTGCGAGTGTGTGAAATTTCCCTGCTGCCTGGTGCATGTCGAGTCTGCAGTGGAAGCTGCAATCTGTTTTTCGTCGCTGGTATGGTGAGTATGATGTCCAGATGCGCTTGTATTGCATGTTCAGTTGCAGGAGACGGCAGGAAAGGTTTGTCGCAAAAAAAAGCCCCGTTCTGTTAGTCTCGTGCGCCGTCGGTTGCTTTGTGTTTATAGTATGGCGTGGTCTTCTTTTATGCTAGCACGGTTGCAAGTTTATCCTTTCGGTCCTTTTGCTGGTCCCAATGATTCCTAAAGGGATTCACAGTGTGTCCTGGAGACTCGGGAGCTGCTGCTTGCGCCAATTTCAGGCCGGTCTTGTTGCCCGATTGTGTGATGTCTGGCGCTGCTTCTGTGTGCAAGAACTGACGACAAAGGAAATCGAGCCGTTTTGCTGTTGAGTGGCCAGTTGTTGACTGTCTGAGGCGGATGTTAACCGGCTGACTGTACCGTCTAACCCTGGGGCAGTGCTCCCAAAAGGTGGCAAGGCACAGGCGGGCGGCAAGAAGCTTCGCGTGGACTTCCTGAAGGAATCGATTCAACTCTTCCCGAACCTTATCCGACTCGTGGCTGGTCAAACTCGGCAAGGTGTGTCGTTGGACCGCTTCCAACGTCGGCAGATCGATGTTGCTGACTGGGAAAGGAGAACTCGGCGAAAAGGTTGTAGAGAGAGAACTTGGTTGGCTTGTTGGAAAATAGCTTGCAAGTTGTCTTGTGCTTGTGAACCTTTGGACAGGACGCTGGAGAAGGTTGCGCAGGAGTCGCAGGAGGCTTCCGTGTCTGATGTGTTTGGCAGTTGGGATGCGTGGCCTTGGCGACCCGAAAGTGAGCAATGGCAGGATCCAGAAGAAGGACTGCAAACCCTGCCGAAGGATCAAGCTTGGTCGTTGGTTTGCCACGTCGACGTTGCTAAGCTTCGGCGTTATCAAGACTTGCAAATCGACCGGCGCCCAGAACAGTTGCAGGCCTTCTTGTCGTCCTTGCCCGAGGATGCGAGCAGTAACGCCGCAGGTGTGACTGCAGTGACTATCGTTGGGCACCAGAAGATTCTGGATGAGATATCCGTTGGAAGAGTTGCATTTCCATGGTCGAGCCTGCCACACTTGACTCGCGAAGCGCGGGCGGCTGCATCCCCGGAGGGATCTCGTGAGTTCGACATGCCCAACGCAGTCGTGTTTTTTGCTTTGCAGATTGGCCGCGAGCTGAATGTGGATCTCCCTGCGTTCGCACGCTATTCGGCACACAAGGCCTTGTGGAGGAAAGCTGTGATGCAGTGGCTGGGCATGTCGATGCATGACGCGAAGAAGACGTTGCTGCGTGCGGTGTTCGGGTTCGCATCCTTGTCCGCATCTGGCGGTAAGATGTCTTCATGCCCATTGTTGGATGCTCTGGCTGTAGACGGGAACAGGCTTAAGCAGACACTTGCAGACAAGCATCCCGGCTTTGTCAAAGCTCTGAAAGCTGCTGGAAAGAAGAGGCCAGAGACTTCCACGATGGCGTACATCTTGTTTGACCGGGAGAACACATACTTGCAAGACTTCGCGAGCTTATTGCCAAAGCATGGGTTCCACATGGTCAGTCCTGTGTACGATGCCGTGGTGGCCGTTCCTGGGCAGGGACATCACTTGAATGCGTCACAGGCGGAGCAAGATTTGCTAGATGAGTTTGACCGCAAATGCGGTGTGCGCATGCAAGTGTCCACCGTGCAGGCTGTTGTCAAAGATCGCAACATCGCACACATTGTGGAGCAGCTGCTGGCGAACGGCAACGGCATGAAGTTGGAGGATGTGCAGGAAAAGGAGGTGTTGCCAGGCATTGGCATGTGCATCCCGCAAGCACTCATCAACCTCTTCCCAACGATGGAAGAAGACGTGAGGACAGCTTTCGAAGGCTCGGCGGGACCGTTCTCATACCGAGAAATCATGGAGCAGTGCAGGAGTGTGAACATTGAGCCCATCCACTTTGAGGACAGAGCAGGTGTCGAAGAGGAATCAAGATATCTTCTACATGATTCCGAAGCAAACTGCCTCTCTCAGTGTGGGCATTGCTACGGTGTGCTTGCAGGCCCATCCGGCTTGGTCCTGTGGACTTCCCATCAAAACGACAGTGTGCAGTTGAGCGCAAGACTGTTTTGGGAGCATGCCATGCAAATTACGGGAGTGAAACTTTTCAGGGTTGAATGCAATGCTGCCCAGCGCAAGCGAAAGCGCACACCGCCAATGCCCATTGCAGAGCTCGAGCTTCGTGCTGGCATGGACCTTGGGGAAGACATGATGGCCGTCATTCGACATCAAATGGCAGAAGAGGTCAAGGCAGAAGTGTCACGCCGGGGGCTGATTTGTGCATGTGCTTGTGTTGTTGCGCCTTGTTTGCGTGCTTGTCGTGGTGGGTGTGCTTCTAGGTTCAAAGTGCGAGTTGCGGCAGAAGTGCGTGTGTGTGTGTGTGTGTGTGCGCTTGCGTGCGTGTGTGTGTGTGTGTGTGTGTGTTGTGTGTGCGTGTGTGCGCGTGTGTGTGTGTGTGTGCGTAAGGTTTGCAAGATGCGGCAGGCCTGGCCGCCGACAATGACAGCAAATGCCGCTTGTGTCCTTTTCGAACTTTCCAGCGGAGATCGCGGACCTTGGAGCATGTCGAAAAGTACCACGATGCCGCACGAGACTTTGTGGTACTACCTCAGCAGTTCTCAGTGGCATGCGCTGTCTTTGAGCAGAGACAGGCCAGGTGCAGATTTGTATCGTTGCATCGATCGGTCTTGTCAGTTGCGGACAGATGGACGGTGCATGCGGTGTGCGTGGGAGCGAGTGAGAGAGTGTTTGTTGAGTCATGTCTTGTTTGTTGCGGGCGATCTGCTGTGTGGCAATCTTGCTATGTGCAGGTCATGCGCACGTGGCAAGCCGGTGATGAAAATTGTGATTTGTTGTCGACGGCCGCTGACTTGATCGCTTCCTGGGTGAGTCCGGATGCCGACACCCTTGCATGTTTGAAGAAGCAAAACTCCATTGATCTGGTTTTGCTTCTGACCGGCAGCGGCCCCCAGTATGTCCTCAAAGCGCAAACAGCAGAGGCCAGGCGCCTGAATAAAACCATCTACTACCAGAAGGGCTTCGCTGATCTAGTGCTCGCCAAAGCTCTGCGGCATCGTGGGAAAATCCACGCCATGTTCAACGACATCACATCGGAATGGGTTGCTCGAGGTTGTCAGTGTTCGTGGCTCGGATGTCGCCGCCGGGACAGTCGCACCGAGCTGGTGCAGGAGGTCATGGACCTTCCGTATGTACAATCTCTTCGGGGTCGTCTCGTTGATGCTGCCACAAGCAAACAGGAGTGGATCGTGTGCAGCCACGATGCCACGTATCAAACCCTGTTTTCAATCATCGGGCAGCGGCCCATGCAGCAACGGGCCGGAGAAGCACATGCGCTGCACACTGTCATTGGTCGCTCTGGGGCGGTGCCGGGCTTCAGCTTGCAAGCGACAGAAGGTTGTGCATGTTTCCGGAGGGCAGTGGCCGAGATCCTTCCTATAGCTGCACGCAGAACCGTGCGGTTCCTATTCAGTGACTCTCCGGAGTCGGTCGAGGGGGCCACGGACGTTTTGCCAGCTCTGGAAGGGGTTGCGGAGGACCCCCTGCATTTGGTTCTGCGTGTTGAAGCGTGCACCGGGGAGCGCCGCACAACATGCTCTGCGGCGTTGCTGCGAGTTCAGATGAAGTTTCGTTGCCCACAAGCAGGAGAGTTCTATCAGGGAGAACGGTTAGAAGATCAGGATGCATGGGCCGATGTAAAGGCACGTGATTGGGCGTCGATACAGTCGCCAGAGTATCTTCAAAGCCCGTACTCCTGCCGTCGACAGTATTTGGAGGCCGTCGAAAGTTTTGCATTAGGGAGCATGTTGCAGCATCTTTGCGCGCACCAATCCCGTGGATGAGAAACCAGTCGCCCAATCATGGATGCGGTAGTTAAATTGCAGCTAAATTGGAACGATAGTTTGTGATGGAGCCTGGGAGGACCTCCGTGCAGTATGTCAGCAGTTTCCCGAAGACATGAAGCGTAAAGACCACAAAGGGAGGACGGTGCTGCAGATAATTCAAGCCGGCGGGTCTGGTCGCCACTTCCGATATTTGTTGAACGGTTCACATATCCTTGCCAAGTTGAAGGACATCCTGCCTGCAGCGGACATGCAGTTGCTGAGTTTCGGTACCTGTAGCAACGAAGCCTTGCATGCTCAGTTGAAGTCGTCCCAAGAGGTCATCGTCCAGCAGCACGTTGAAGTGGTGCCGTTGCACTTGTCAGCATTCTCTCTCGGGAAATTGTTGGCCCACCATGCCGCTGCCTACTTCCCGACCATTGCCCAGCGGCGAGAGTCAGAGATCTTGTCATTGTTGCAGGGTCGAATTGTTGCTGGGCTCCTGCCAGCACTGAGCCAGGAAGATGAAATAGTGCTGAGGACCAGGGAAGATCTCCGCAAGCCAGTCCATGAGTTGGATTCCAGCAAAGTCCAACGGCGGCAAGCTGTTGCGGCGAGGCAGCAGTCCAGTTGGCAGCGTGAACAAGGGATCCGGAAGGAGAAGCGAAACAGAAGGCAGGTGGCCGCCGCGCATGTGGCAGCGACAAAGCGCACCATTTTCACCAAGAAGAAGCCAGCCGGCATGATGTAGGAGATTTTGTTTCTTGAAGTGTTGGGCCTGCGTGGGGCAGTGAGGTGGTTGGTGCTTGATGTTGCTGGCAGTGAGGGTGGGAATCCTGGAGTATGTGGCTACTTGGTGGGCCGTGACACTACCGAACTTTCGAATCCATATTGAAACTTCAGGCGAAAGAAATTACATCTCTCAGATGTGGGTGTGTCAGGTGTCCGAAGCGCAAAGCACAGCCGCCTGCGGAACGAAATCGTGGCAGATCAGAGGCCGTTGCTGGCGTGTCCCATGTGCATAAAACTTTCAGAGTCCAAAGCCCAACTGAAGGGTTGCGGTTGGTTTCCCAGTGAGACGCTCGAAAAATATATATATATATATATA